TACAAGGACGAGCCTGTCTCACGAAAGCCTCGAGAACCCACCCACCCAGCCCCCAGGCACCGCCCCCGCGGCCCAGGGGAAGGACGGAGAGGAAAAAGGGGGGAGAGGCGGAAACGCAGGCGGAGCCTGTACAAGAGGGACGTGCGACAGGCGAAGCCTGAGAAGGTGAGAAACACCAGATGCAGCACCCTTCTTTGCACCAGAACGCGAATTGACCAAAACCATCATGTCGCGTTCGATGTCAGTTCGGACGTGCTGCAAACCAAAATCTCAAACATCCCTCGATCCAGGGCTTCGCACTGAAGTGAAACCTCATCCAGCAAGTCGGGGAATAATTCCTCACAGTCTCCAACCTTCATTCCGCTCCGAGTACTTGAGTGTGCCAATCTCCGCTTAGCGACTCCTTCTAACACCTCAGAGCCACCACCCGCATGCGTACTTCAACCATTCAAACTGGGCGAACGCACCTCTGCCGACCTGAAACCACCAGGGCGGGCGAGTGGTGGGAAGCTGGAGCACCTCCTGTGCCTTGAGCGGCGATATCATGGCCGTCGCATCAACTGCAGACTCGATAGCATCTCTGACTCGGGCTGTGATGCGCTCGAGCTCTCCACCCGGGTCGGCTCCAGTCAGAGACCATAACGGGTTAGCCCATTGTAGCTCAAAGCCCAGCCTCGCGAAATAGAAGCGGATGGCCAGGATCTCCTCGGCCACCAGCATAACCTTCCAGTCCCAGATGAAAAAGCTCTCAGGAAAATTGAACTGAGCCGAGGTCTTGGCCGCCGACGGCGCTCTGGGAGACACTGCCTGCATGGAACTCCACAGCTCCACAGCCAGAGCCTCTGGCACCACCAGTAGTCCTCGCTCGAGCTCCTCCATCATGTTTGGGCGCGAGCGGGCCCCGATGTCCACGACAAAACGGCCTCCAGTCACGTTGAGCCTGCATCCCAGTAGGTCGATGCCCGACCAAGCCTCGTCGACCAGAGATGCTGAGTTCCTTGCAATCGACAGAGCCACTCCACTGACGGCCAGCGTGAGATTTCTGGACGCCAACGCCACTGCACCTCCTGCCCCTGCCACATCCTCGACCAATGCTGCTGCTGCCTCGGCGCTCCTGGACATGTTAGGGAAGACAGCAGACGGTATGGAGACACAGATCACCCCGAGGATGATGGCGGGGAAGAAACACGGGCCGAACCAAGGCCTCGGAATCTTACTGCAGTTGGCAGCCAACTTCATGTAACAGATCCTCTGAACGCGCTGCTGCTGCTGAGGTCTGTGCGGCTGGGGCACGAACTGCACCGTGTCCGGCAGGGGAGTGCCCGCCTCGTCCGTGGGCACTGCGGAGAGCGTCGTGGGCGGCGGAGGCACTCCAGGGGATTTGCTCTTGGGCGGCGTGAGCACCAACGAGACTGCCCCTGGCGACGCCGTCCTCGACGTGGCCTTTGAGGCTGGCGAACTCGCAGCCATCCAGCTGCCAGGCGTGACAGGCGTCGCTGGCAGCGGCGGCACCGTCCCCATCTCCTCCGATGGGCCCTTGACCCACTGCCCATTGACTCTGATCATGCCCTTCGGCGCCATGTCCGTGAAGACCCTGCGCTCCCCATACGTGTGCTGGAAAGTACTGGCTCCAGCCCCTCTTGAGCCAGTACAGCTGCTGCGCGAAACCTTTCGCGTTGAGCTGAGTGAGGATGTGACTCGCACCTATGATGTCCAGGTGTATTCTCAGACTGGTCTGAAATCCACCCTCCTCACTCACGTACCTCCTCAAAGGAGAGGCCCTCCGCCCGAGAATCGCTGGCCCACCCTGCACGCGGGCTGTGAGGGCCCCACCCCATGGAGAGACCCAGGGAGCCCTCGACGTCCTTCAGGAGCCTGCGGTACTGGGCCAAGCTGTATGGGAATAGCGGACTGCCTGCCGGGGTGGCCCTCGTGATGTCCTCTAGCACCTCCATGATGTCCTGGTCCTCCTGAAAGATACGGGCCACCTGGGGCCTCTTGAGCTTGGTGCCCGTTCTCGGAGCCAGAGCTATGGATACGGAAGCCGAGCCCATGTCTTCTCCCAGATCTCGAGGAAAAACAGATCTTCCGGTAGTATGCCCAAGAGCTCCGAGGGCCGAAGGCCCGTGTGACACTGCACGACGAGGGCGAGACCCAATCGAGGATGACCTCTGGAGCCCAGGTGAACCCCCAGGAGCTTGCCAGGCAACTTCCCCAGGGGTACGGTATGCTTCCTGCCAGCGTTTCTCGCCCATCCTGCAATCACAGCCTTGCTCCACGACAACTTGCCCCTCATTCGAGGGAAGAAGAACTCAACTAAAAGATCGTTTTGAACTCAACTAAAAGATCATTTTTGAACTCAACTAAAAGATCGTCCCATTGATCTGCGCCGCTGGGGTGCAAATTGCGCTGGAGCGCCAAGGCCGAAACCTGCAGCCCAGCGCTCCGATAAACTTCGAGAGTCTTCTCCGTCACTCTGGCAGCCTGATCGGGGTCGAGCCGACGCGGCCCTGCCCGACCCGAGCTACCTTCTCCTGGACAACGCATCTGCTGTCTGATGTGCGGTGTCCACCCAGGGTGAGTATAGTTTGATGCCCGTCGCCACTGAAAGTGCACCCACCTTGCGCAGCAGGTAGTCCAAATGCGGGGCAGACGATCGCCCCTTCGCCGCTGCTGCTGCTGCTGCTGCTGCTGCCAAAGGCTCGTTATCCTCCATGTTACATATGGCGTGATCGTGGGCTCTCGCAAGGCACGAGAGGCCCTGGCACAACTTCACCACAGCTCGACCTTCACCCAGGATGATGTGATCTGGTTGTCGCCACCTCCCCG